ATATAAATTTTATTAACCACCAACAGAGTTTCATCATGCTGAACTATGACAATGATAGTTATTGTTTGAGGACTGGTAATACGTACAGAGAAAAAATCGTTAACTACTTCGATATACAAGGAGGTGGGCACGTGGTCTCTAAAACCTTTGGATACGTCACTGACATCTACTGCCCGCGACATTATTTTGGCGATCAGAATAGAACTAGTGATACAGAATGGCATAGACTTCTCATATTAGTTTTCTATTTGGTCACATATTCTGACATACCACACACTCACGCCAGCTGCCACCTATCGCCACCTGTTATTATTTTTAAATTTTCTTACTTATTGGTTTATTAATAGTAGAACGGAATTATAAAAACAGTAAAAACTCGACCTGAATGGCAATTTGTTTGTGAGTTTTAAAGGAAATAGCATTTAAGCGCTCCTAAATTTTGAAATTTAAAGCCCTTTTTTACAGACAATTTTTAAGTTTTTGAAAATCTTCATTAGAAGTCACTTGAAGCACATCTACTCACAAATACAATATTGTTTCACAATTTGCTGCAAATGTGCATATTGATGCCGTGAGAAACCTTTCCAAACAGTATGTTTGTGTAATCTTTGTATACATTTGTGTAATTTTTTTAAAACCGAAAGAATACAGCAAAATGGATTTTATGACATCATAAAGTGTTTAATTTGCACTATCCATACGAAAATTTGAATAAAAAATGTTGAGTGTTTTTCTGAAAGCGGCACTTTAGCGTTTCTGAAAATGCGGAATTTTGACCTAGTGTTTACAGAAAACTGTTTCAATGCAAGGTACTTACAATGCACATTTATCATCCGCATATGGCAAAGGATGACTTTTTCATAAAATACATGAATTTTAAAACACGCCAGTGTTCCTAGAATTGATTTTTGTTGCATAGTTTCTGAAATATGGGAGTTTATTTTTGTCTTAAAAAATGATGGTTCAAAATCGCAGTTACAAAAATTGCATTTTCAAACAGGTTTTTATTAAAAGAGAAGCAAAAATGTTATTTTGACAATTGTAAACTGAAGTATGATTTATAGAATATAACAATTAGTTAAGAGTATATGCGATAATGTCTCGTTAAGAAGAGGCTCGTCTCCTGATAGGCAAATCTTCCCGCTGCCTCCCTTACATGTATTTTAAGGAAAACAAGCAAAACAAGAAAAAGTAATATTTTAAAAAATGTTATTATGACAATTGTATATTAAAATATCATTTAAAAATATAAAATTTAGGGAATACTATAACCGATAAGGCCTCGTTAAGAAGAGGGTTGTCTCTGGGTAGGCAGATGATCGCACTGCTAATCCACTATATGTAATTAAGAAATGCACCAAAACAAGAACAAGGATTTTTTGAAAAATGTTATTACAATTGTAAACTGTAATATCTTTTAAAGAATATAACATTTAGTGAATAGTATAAGCGACAATGCCTCGTTTAGAAGAGGCTTGTTTCTGGGTAGACAGATATTCGCGCTGCCTCACTTAGAACTAATTTTAAGAAATCCAGCATAACAAGGAAAAGGATTGTTTGAAAAATGTTATTTTGACAATTGTATATTGAAATATTATTTGAAAAATATATCATTTAGGTAATATATTAAGCGATAATGCCTCGTTAATAGAGCTTGTCTCTGGGTAGTCAGATCATCGCGCTGCATTGCTTAAAATTTATTTTAAGAAATCAAGCAAAACAAGAAAAAAGATTTTTTGAATTTTTTTTTCGATTTTAAATTTAAATATTATTTAAAGGATATAACATTTAGTGTAGAGTATAAGTGATAATGCCCCGTTAAGAAGAGGCTCGTCTCGGGGTAGGCAACTCTTCACACTGGCTCGCTTACATCTAATTTTATTAAATCCAACACATGAAAAAGGATTTTAAAAAAGTAATTACGACAATTGTAAATATAAATATCATTTGAAAAATATAACATTTAGTAAATTGTTTAAACGATAATGCCTTTTTAAGGAGAAGCTCATGTCTGGGTTGGCAGATGTTCGCGCTGCCTCGCTTATATCTACTTTTAAGAAATCCAGCAGAACAAGATATAGTAATTTTTGAAAAATGTTATTTTGTTAATTGTAAATTGAAATATCATTTGAAGAATATAACATTTAGCGAAGAATATAAGTGATAATGTCCCGTAAAGAAGATGCTCATCTCTGGGTAGGCAGATTACAAGTGTCAATTGATGTATAATTGAATGAAAAACACATTTAGTGAATAGTATAAGCGATAAAACCTCGTTAAGAAGATGCTTGTCTTTGGAAAGGTAGATCTTCGCGTGGCCATGCTTACAACAAATTTTAATAAAACTAGCAATACAAGATAAGGATTTTTTTAAATGTTATTACGACAATTATACATTGAAATAACATTTGAAGTATATAACATTTAGTGAATAGTTCATTCGATAAGTAGAGGCCTCGATATCGAGTAGCCTCGATAAGTAGAGGCTCGTCTCTGGGTTGACAGATATTCGCGCTGCCTCACAGAACTGCCTGGCAGAACTAATTTTAAGAAAACCACAAACAGAAGGGAAATGATTTTTTAAACATGTTATTACGGCAATGGTAAATTGAAATATCATTTAAAGAATATATCATTTTGTAAATAGCATTTAGCCGAAGTCGTATTTCGCTAGTACCTCCGAAATTTATAATTTGACGGGATTCTAGTTTTCTCCAATCAATTTCTCTTAACGTTCTCTACTATTATACCAGTTTTCAATACGATACGCTGAAATTAATTTTTTCTCCAATTTTCAATGGGGGGAGGGTATTTTGAACTTTCGCATTTAGCCAAAGTCGTATTTCGCATGTAACTCCGAAACTATTAATTTGTCCGGATTCTTGTTTCCTCCATCTAATTTCTCTTAACTTGTTCTACTAATATACTAGTGTGGCATCATATCTGTCGCCAGTACAAACGTACCAAATAGCAGCCATATGAACAGCGCTGGCGCAAGAGACGCTGGGCTGCACAAAGGCTAGGGAGCGGAAGGGAAGGGAAGGGAAGGGGTGCTGTGTCGTGGGTGGCAAACGTGGAAACCCCGGAAGCGACGGAAACGCGTCGGCGGACACAGCGGGTGACGCAGTTACGCCAGCCTGCCAAGAAGGTATATAAACGAACCCCGACCTAAGCTCTGACTTCTGATTCTTGGGCGCGTCGGTAGGACGTCGTGTGGGTTGTCCGCGGCGCTGCATTTTAATGCATAGGCTACCGAGGCAGGGAACCGAAGCCGGCGTGCTACGTCGAGACGGGAGGTGCGGCATACTCGCTGGTATACTCACGTAGGCTACTGGTGCATCACACCGAATATGGTATTTAATTATCGGGCCAGCGGTGGTAGTAACCAGGGAAAGTCCCTTCTTGTAACGGTCAAATTTGTTATTTGTAAATATTGTATATAGTATTATGGTGTTGGAGTATTTTTATTCTAATAAATACTTAATATTTACAAACCATTCACGGCTTTAATTTATTGCCCCGGCAAAGACGCCATAGACGTAGGAGAGATAGAATGGTGGCAGCGGTTAACGAACTACCACGCAAGTGAAGTGTATGCAGCGGTTCACGAACTACCACGTGGGTGTAGTATGGTGGCAGCAGTTCACGAACTGCCACGTAGGTATAGTGTAGGAGTCAGCGATTCAGGAACTACCACGGAAGTGTAGTGTATGTAGCGGTTCAAGCACGCAGTTAATGGTTAGTAAACGACCACGCAGTTGTGTATGTGCGGTGTTCGTCTGTGGTAGGCAGCATCACACAGAAGCACGCCAGGAACGGCAGGTAGTATAATTACGCCAGAAAGGGGCTTCATCCGTCCATGGGTAATTAGTGAGCGTAGAAGGGATAGAATTCTGCGGTTCACGTTCGAGGTTCGGTCGGATCCTTGTATTGTAGCAACAGCTATAGAAAAGAACAAAACACCCAGCATTTAGGGCGCTTTGTACCAGCGGGACACAGTCACCGAGAACAGCGGACCGGGCGCGCGGAAGTGCAAGTAAATTTGGCCGCAGGTATCCGCCGGAGGGAGATTGAACAGTGGGCGAGCGAGCAAGGCTCAGCCAGGGACAGCATTGAAGTAAACATATTTAAAATGCGCGAAATAAAGTAAAACGCGAACGAACAAAGGGCGAGTACATCGGCGGGGCGAAACTTCAAGCAGAAGGACGGGAAGGGAGGACGGAAGGACGGACGTGTTGCAGCCTATCCATCCATCTCACCACGACACCCGTCAGCACCGAACGTGCACGCATAAGCAGCAGGAAGCAGCCACGGACAAGCAGTGGAAGCCAAGGGTAAGTGTGTTCTTTTGCAACGCTTAGGGCACTGTTGGAAGAAATGGCGCACTTACTGAGATTTCCAAAGGAGGGAATGATCCGAATCGCCAGGGATTTAGGAATTGTATTAGATGGTTCGGAAACAAATCCGACTTTAAAGAAATTAATAGTAGAGCATGAGGATTATTCCGTTGAATTAACAGAGGAATTGGGGCAACAGCATGAGAGAGATAGGAGAATATTAGAAGAAAGGGAATATCATTTAGAACTTGCGAGAGTGCAAAATGCCCAGACGGGCGAAACAAATTCTGAGATTCGTTCGGAAGCGCGTTCGGAACACGCGAGAGATTATATTAGAATAGGCCAAATAAATGGTAGATTTAAAGGAGAGCAGGACGACATCACTTCTTATCTGAGCGAAGAAGATTGGCTTGTTAATTTAATAGGATTACTTCCGCATAATGTTAACACATGGTTTACTTTAGATGAACAAGAAGAAGCGTTAGATTATGCGGAGTTGAAATCAAAATTGTTAGAATTGTACAACTGTTTAGGAAACACAGTAAAAACGGAACAACCTGGAGCATATTCGCGAGGGAATTGCTAAACTATGCCAGAGAGTGTGTAGCGGGACTTAATATAAAAACATTCGAGGGTTTATCGAATTTGATCGTGGTCGACCAAATGAAGCACAGAGTTCCAGGGGATATGCGGGAACTCTTTGTGGATAGATGGGCCGAATTTTCGAATCCGCTTGAGTTCGCGAAGAGACTTGATGCGTACGAGAATGCGCGGCAAGGGTGGAAGAAGCCACAGTTACCATCTTTCCGGCCGGAAAGAACATTCCGGAAAGAACTCGGAAACAACAGGGCACCTGTTGCTCCTCACGTGGCACCCAAGCCGGCAGGAAGTACGAATGGGGGTAGAAAAACAGCGCAAAGAAATAATTCGAGACACCTAATGTCCGCAAGTGTTATGATTGTCAGTCGACCACGCACTTGATTAAGAACTGTCCGCGGAAACAGGGCAATCAAATAAATCACGTGTGTGAACCCGAGGCAAGGCAATTCTTGAGGCAGCGCATAGTGGCAGGGACTGTGAATGAACAGCCGACTGAGAACTTGAGAGACACGGGCGCGTCATTTGATCTTGTATCCGCGAATCTAGTCACAAATCGAGATTATACGGGCGAATCGGTCTGTATCAAACAGCCGCTTCATTCAGCTGCCTTTAATTTGCCGGTGGCGGAAATTCACCTACATTCAGAACTAGGTAGTGTAATCACCAGGGCCGCTATAGTGCCGAAGGAAAACGAACTTAATTATTA